GTATCTGCTTTCTCATCACATGGTTACTTATTCGTGTGCTCAGGGATTAGCTTCTCTCAGCACTTCTGGGCTCATCAGAAAATGGAAATACACCTGCCAGAGAGTATTATCAATCTTCCTGCCTTCTCTTGTCTGTCTAGCTGTTTCAAGCCAGTAAGCTTTTAGATAACTCTGAATTAAAACTCATTACGCTTCCAGAACTAGACAATGCCACTTTCTGCAAGCTGAGCTGCTTGTGAGAGGCCTTTTTACGAATTTTCCATTGCTAACTTACACATACAAAGGCATAAATGGGCACACAGTCTGAAGAGACACATTCAAATGATGTGCAATATCCAGCCCCCACCTCCCCAGTATAGTGGAGCAGAGCTGGCCCTTCCTCACATTACAGTAATAATAATAATAATAATAATAATAATAATAATAAATAAAAAATAAAAAACATAATTTTTTTCCTGAAATACATTCAGGCAGTATATTGCTATACGCATGCCTTGTTTCCTCAATATCCTTAAAATAATTGGTTTTTGAATGTTAACTATTGTTGTTTTGGAAGTGAATATTTGCTCACTCTGCTTACTGACATGAAGTTTCTAGTTGGGATCCCTAATCATATTGATAATAATAAATACCCTGCTTACAAAAGTTTTGTTTCTTGCACAGAATGAGTTCTAGTTGATATTGTGGAATTATTTTCAGGCTTAAGTTTTGTTCAGAGGTTGGCATGAGGTGCATAATAAATAAGTATCCTTTAGCAATAGAGTGGCCCTTCCACAGCCACTTGCTGCTTGCATGGTACATTTGACACCACAGTAAATGTGTAAACTGTGTGCCTTAGATCTTAAGTAAATTACAAAAGTTATTGATGACTTCTCAAAAGTTAGAGCAGAAGAAACAAAGTTCTTTATTCTCATCACAGTTTTCTAATACACTTAACCTGTACTGGGGTGTTTATAACTTTATATCTGTTCTATCCCTTCATCCCATAAGTATTTATATAAACAGGACACCCTGTAGCTGCTAAAAAAAAATTATACCCTATGTTTTGTGACTCATCAATGGAGATGGGCAAGCGAGTGAAGACGTAACTCTCATGTTCCATAAAAAAAATCAGCATTTCTGAATTTGAGATGATTTTGAGTGTGAAACTTTTACATTATATTTGAAAAATTATTACTGTTACCAAGCTGCTCTGTGTTGTTTCCCATCCTGACACTACGTTTTTAAACAGCTTACTTATCTGTCTAATACAGTCACTATCTAATGATTTCCTCATCGGTATTTATCAATAAAACAAATAATGGCCTCTCAAGCTGCACAGAGTTGATGTATTGTCAATAAGAAAAATTAACAGATAAAAAGAATTAATATCATATTTTTCTTCAGTTGTGTATCCTTTTCTTAGACAATTCTGAGTATTTCAAAATACTAAAAATCTCCATTACTGACTCAACAACCCCCATTGTTCTATGTCAGTTTCGACATTGATTGACACTAGTCTAACGTTCCAGTTTGCTTTTCTGTTGTGCTCCTCTACCTCTTTCTTTCCATCTCTCTTGAGTGCTTCATGAGCAGGCCATGTGCCTAGAGGGTAGGAATGGCGTTGGAAGAAAAACAAACATATAGCTTTCATAATGATTCACAGTGCTTTTCTACTTAACCTGAGGCTGCCTAACATGCATGAAATGTAGCTGATATTTGATGAACCTTGTTATTAACATCTGCTCTAGTGGGGGTTAGTTGGAGAGGTTTGGGATGGGGCATACAGAGTGGCATGGTAAATGCTGCTGAACTAGATTCAGGTGCTCCTGGATAGAACTGGCCAAAAGGTTGAAGTGACCTTCCAGAGCCATTGCTCTCCCCCACATCCTCCCTTTCAGACCCTCCACATGCCAATCAAATCTTCAGTCTTAGTACTGAACTGAAGTGATATGCTAGTTTAAAACCAGAAGCATAGGGGATTCTTAACAGGGGTAGAAAACTTAACATAGCACTGTTGATAAAAATTCAGCTTCCCTGGGGAAAGAAAATACTTGAGATTATGTGTAATAAAAGGATATTAGACACTTGGACAATGGTTAAATAAAGGAGGAGAATTCACAAAAAAAACTCTATCACTTTATTTTCTTAAGCTTGACCTTCTTTTAGAGTCCTTTTCAAAAAAATTCTTATTGATGAGCATGTAAAAATAACTATTCGTACTTATAAGAATTTAGTGTTTTAGTACATGCACATAGTGTGAACCAAAGCAGGATAATTCAGACTTCTCTATCTCCTTATCATCTCTATGCTCAGATAGCCACCCCAGTCCCTTATAAAACATAACATGGGTTAGTATAAACTGTAGCTTCTGATCGTGGGCTAGAAGACTAGAATGAAACTCTCCTGTTAGCTGTTTTACCGGTTCTCCACCCTTCCCGCCCTCAGTTTTCAAGTGCACTCCTATTTGGTATCTCTCTTACATTTGATGTCCCTCTTTTCTCTTTTTAATAACTTTACATAACATTATTAAACTGAAACAAAGTATCAGTATTATTCATAGGAATTACCCATTTGGTTGAGGTTACTAATGACTTCATCTGTTTGCATATTCTTTCCCTAGTATACTTAAGATATTTTACAATCAACTTGCTTTTTAATGAAGAAAAACATTTTAGGAAAAATTTGTAAATAATAAAAGTTGTAAATTGTAAATTATATAGACATATATATATATATATATATATATATATATATTCCTTTATATTTTCTTGCCATGACAAGGTAGATATGTTTTTATATATTTGATATGGCCTATCTTAGGACCTGATTACAAAATAACATGTGAGTTTTGTTCATCTGAGAAGCTGTATAATACTACTAAAGGAACCATGGCAGGTTACATCATAATATCCTAAAACAAGGAAGCTGTGGATAAAATATTTTATTTCGTGTTAGGTCTCAAACTCTGGACAAATGGCTGAGTTGCTTGTTTACTATATCATAGTGGATCTGGCCCCCTGCTAGGATCTCCCAGCATCCCTCAATATCTACCTCTTATATGGCCCTTCTGGCTGGCATGCCCCTCAACTCACTCTCCAGCTTAGGTATTAGGGCTGGACTGCTCTTCCTCCAATCGCCCTTCCCTATATAATCCAGCCGTTTTGGTTATCTGGTCTTTTTGTCTATTTGCTGAGCCAGTTTTTTGGTCCAAGCAGCCCTTCTTAGTTGGCAGCTGCTCTCCTCTCTCCCCTGTGTGACCTTGCCTCACATGGCTCCAGGTCATGTCCACTATGGATTTTCCCAGATGTCCATGCCTCTGGTTATGCTCTTTTTTTTGTCCACAGTAAACCTTCTCCTCCAACATACCTAAGAACAGTCATGTCCTTTCTGCCTTTATCTCTTTTTTCATTCATCTTGTTTGCTAAGTATTATATGATCATCAAACAGCATGAATCAAACTATCGCTGAATTTGGATATAAAAGAACAGGAGACCACTCCTTCCATTAAGCATTTTATAATGAAGCTGCAGCACAAGGACTCATAATAATGAGTGAATTATCAGTTATCAGTGATATAACTTTAAAGCATGCTGCATTGTAAAGTGCCTGTCTCACAGACATCCCAAGGGATGGAGGATAGGCAGAGGAGTGAGCAGAAAGGCAGATGGGTTCACAAGTTATAGGACTACAAAGAAGAAGACTGCTGGACAACATTGGTTGAATTTCAGTGAAACTCTTGACTTTTTATTGATCCCAGAACACTTCAGGAAATAGACAAATCAGCTAGGTTTTTGGGAGTGCAGAGAGTAGACAGAGTCGACTCTGTGCAAAAGAGGAATGAGGAATGTTAGACCAGTGACTTTATATAGGTAAAGTCAGTAAGGTTTTCACCGGACACTGGAACAGAGGGGCTTCCACAGAGCAAAGCTCAGTGATGAGGTTGCTTTCAGATTTGCACAGCACGGTATCCTGAAGAATTATGAATTTAAGCAACACATAGACATGGCCGGTATGGGAAATTTTTCATAAAATAGTTAATGCAACAAAAAATGTTTTAGGAAAAATCAGAAGTTTAACTTTGTGTTGACTATGAGCTATGACTATGGTTTAAATCAAAATGGAGATTTTTCATGATCTATACGGATTTTAAAGTACTTTTAGAAGGAACTGAACTATAGATTTTGCTGCACCATCAGTAAAATAATTCTGTATTTAACTGATATTTCAGACACAGTTACATCAAATTTATCGCTAGTCATCTTAGGTCAGATCACATTCTAATTGAAGACTAATGGATTCTAAGACAAGAAGCTAGTATAAAAGTCTAAAAACCTCCAAATATTTTATGCATATAATTTACTGAATTTTATATGCTAAAAGAAAGGTAATAATATATGCCTTTGGGGGTATTTAACCTAATTACTAGATAGTCAGAAAATGATATTTTTTACCTGTGAGTTCTAGCTACACAGAGAAATTGTATATGTTATCATTTTTCTTTAAAGCTATTAGTAATTTTATCTCATAAAATCATTGATGTCCTCATTTTTATTGGGTTTTTAATTTTAATTTTAATACAAACAGCTTAATGCAAATGGGTCTTGGATCCGAATAGTATGGGTTGGAATCCAGCTTGGCCACTGAGCCACTGGACAGTATGGAGAAGTGTCTTTCTATATCTTGGTTTCTTCATCCATGAGAGATGACACTAATCACATTGGCATCTTTGGCTCATCGGAAGGACAAAATACAAAATGTAGATTAGTGTCGAACATGTGGGAACAATTCATACATGATCATTACATTACTAGTAATATTGCAGAATCAAAGAATGATGCACACTGATCTAAAACATGCCTTACTGTGATCATTTGTTTTGCTTCTCAAGTCTTACTGCACAGATGGTCAGGATGCCCTAGGTTATGGCTGGGTTCTCTGTTGAATAGCAGAGGAGTCAGTGTGGATAGCAAAGTTAGATCTAGTCACAGTATAGCTAACCTGCCTCTTGTCTTCCACAGTGAGCCATCTCTATGGATTTGGATTGATGGATGCGGAAGCCATGGTGATGGAGGCAGAGAAGTGGACAACTGTTCCTCAGCAGCACGTGTGTGTGGAGAGCACGGACCGACAAATCAAGTAATGCTTGCTGCCTAGCCACAGCCTGACAAGCCCCAAAATGACGCCAGTGCAACTGCTGTAAAACATGGAAGCTAAATGCATCTTTCTGTTGCTTCTTTCTAGTGTCGTTATAAACTTGAGATAGAATGTTATACCCAAAAATCCTTCAAAGGAAAGTGTCCTTTTCAAGGGAAGCCCTGGACTTGTGGGCTGTTCTACATTTCCTACTTACCAATGTCCTTGCTTGTTGAAGCAAGAATTCTCCAGATCTTTATGTTCCTCAAACTTAATCACATTCTATGAAGGTCTCCAAAGAGTATGGTAAAATAGATAGCAAATACAGTTGCTGATCACTGAGAGTCGTGGGGCCTGTTCTCCAGTGTTAGCTGCACACACTCAGAGGCTGCTATTTGTAGTGTTTGCCCAGCAATATATGAAGCCCAGGTGCTTGATCTGAAGAACAGCATTCATCTCAGGGGCCTTCCTAGAGTTCTTCACTTTCTTCTCAGAAACCTCTCTGCCTGGAAAATGTTATTTATGGTTTGTGATGAACATAAAGCCTTATAATCCTGGAGGAAACGTGTTAGTAAGCAAAATGAAAATAGGATAAAGTCCTGATTTGGTTTGGTTTTAAAATTTTCCCCATTTATCTCTTTCATGGCACAGAGTGAGGAAGTAAAAATAAAGGGAAGGGAAGTTAATCAGTATTTATTTACCTAGCACTTATTACAGATAAAAAGCCCATGGCCCCCCACCTCCACTCGCTTTCATCTTTCCCTTTAAATGACCCAGTTATTTGAGTGTCTGGCAGTGTTGTCTTGTAATATCCAGTGGCTCGCTGCTGTCTGTCTTGTACTCTCATTTCAAACCCTGATGCCCACTGATATCTGCCATATCTTTTGTTCAAACCCGCACTCTCTCTCCTGCCAGGACCATTCGCCCGAACAGTGCAGTGCGCTCCATCTATAAAGCCTCAGGCTGCTCGGATAATCCCAACCATCACGTCAATTACCTGGAGCATGTAGTTGTGCGTATTACCATCACACATCCACGGAGAGGAGACCTGGCCATCTACCTGACTTCACCCTCAGGAACCAGATCCCAGCTTTTGGCCAACAGGTACAGTGAGAACCTCTCCCTTCCAGGGTGGGAGCCAGAGCTATACTTGATATTCTTCATGGAAGAGAGAAATAACAGCTCTTTATTCCTATTCTAGGAACCAACTGAGTGGCCCTTGGATTCTGTACTTTCTTAGTATCTAAGTAAGATGAGAAGCTACCTAACCTAGCATCCTAGCATCTGTAGACATGGGAGGGCAACATTGTATAGTCGGGTACTGAGAGGGTGCTGTAGAAAAGGTTGAAGGCCAGTTGTTCTTTATTCTAAAAGAGAATTGCAGAGCACTCAGGGAAGAGACAGTGGGAACATTGTGGATGGGAAGGAGTGGGAACATAGACTCCGAGAGCTTCGTGTTCATTCCCTTTCTGTACTCGGACTTCATGTGTTCTCCTAAACCCAGGGCTTAAGACTTTAACAAGGAATTGAGGTTTTGCCAGAACAAGTGTGCAAGTGGAAGGGATGTGAGAATTCCACTTTGTCAGATCCTGAGGCACTCCCTCCTTACCCTCCCCCTGCTATACAAAGGGGCCTCAGCTGCTGCCCACAACCTAATTACCCTACCTGCTTCATCCCAACAAACAATGCATGATTAATGGAGGTCTCAATAGCTGTTACAAAGCCAGGGGAGGCCTTGCTTGCTTGCTTTTCTTCCTTTCTTTCTTTTCTTAGTCATTATTCATCTGAGTTTAACTAGTGAGAGTGTCCGGGTGAAAGGCTTTGGAACTCAAGTCCAGCTTCACATAGGCCTCTATGTCCTGAGTTCACCCCTCCCTTGCGGAAAGCCGTGCTCTCTGCTGCTGCTGCTTGCTAGGAAAACTCAGTCCCCTCTCCTGGGTTTCAACTGCACTTTACCATCTATTATTAACATCCTAATAAAGGACTTCAGCAAGGAAACCCACCAGCTGATGGGCTATGGATGCCATCACAGGCATCTGGTGGCCTACAGGGTCACTGGCTTCAGGGAACACACGTGTTCCTCCACAGTCCACATCTGCTTTGCTGTTTGCAAAGTACTGAATGCAAGAATATTCCAGAGCTTGCATCCTTGACCTGCACTTAGGTTTACCTCAGCCTCCCCCACTCAGGTTTGACCTGAAGCATCTTAAGGGATTGCTCCCTGCATCTCCTTCTGAGTCTGAAGATGTGTGCCATCAGAAAGCAGTAGCAAGACTGGAGAGAGTTGGAGGCACAGAGAAATACCAAAGATGTGATGAGATGCAATAGTCTATAGCTCCCTCATAACATCTTTCTGAGTAGCTGGCCCTTTAAATGTGAAATAGTTGCATAGCTGGCCCTGGTCCCAAGGCCATACACACAGCACCTCTTCCATTCTTGTACTTGACACAGGGAGTATCCCTCCTACCTAGGCAGCTCAAGAAAGGTGGTTTCTTCTGGCATTCTTTTCCTCGGACATGGTCCAAGGGCTCCATTTTATTACAGGAAACCAATCTTCAATATCTCTTAAGTTTCTGATTCAGTGACAGGAAGACCTGGAGACTGCCAATGTGGCCCTAAGTCAACACTCAGTCCTGGCTCAGGAACCAAAGAGCTGAGAGGCAGGGACAGGACAGGACACAAGACACAAAACGGAGTGGAGAGGAATGAAGCAAAGCCCTGCTGTGCCCTGATGTCTTTCCTGTTGGTCTCCAAGATAATTCTTTGCCTTGAAGAACAGATGAATGTGGCAGGATTTAGGAGTCTCTGTGCTCAGAATTATTCCTAAGAGAGGGGAACAGTTGCTGTTGCCGACATTCAGCCTGGGTTTTGAAGTGTGAAGATTCTAAGCTGAGTATGGTGGTACCTGCCTGTAACACCAGCTCTAGCAAGGCTGAGACCAGAGAATTGTGAGTTCAAAGCCAACCTGAGCTATATAGCAAAAACCTGTCAAAGAAAGAAAGAGAGAGAGAGAGAGAGAGAGAGAGAGAGAGAGAGAGAGAGAGAGAGGAGAGAGAATAGAAATTTCCAAAAAAGAGTAAAGATCACAGTTTAAAATGAAGGAATTAAACTTTTAAAGCAAAGTTTCTCTAGCAAGGCAGTTAGAGTTCTCTGGTGGCAGAGGTGTTGTCTGTCTTCACCCTGTCTGCATGCTTACTAGCCTGGATGCCACTAGAAAACTCCCAATGGACTTTTTCAGTCTTGGTTGGTTGGTTGGTTGGTTGGTTGGTTGGTTGGTTGGTTAGTTGGTTTGGTATGGTTTTTGAGACAGGGCCTCACTGTGTAGCTTGGCTGACCTGGGAGTTGCTGTGTAGACCAGGCTGACCTCAAACTCACAGATCCACCTGCCTCTGCCTCCATAGCGCTGAGATTAAAGGCATGAGCCACCATACTCAGCTGCCCCAAGGCTTTGAAGCAGTCTGACCACCTAGGTCTTAACACCAACCGCAGAAGCAGAAGTTCTAGCCCCACTCAGACCCATGACTCTTTTCAGGTTGTGTCCTGTGCCGCCTCCCTCAGGCTTTCATTTCCCTTGACATATCTCTGAGGAATTTCTTTACAATTGTTTATCCATTGACCACTGCAGTTCCTGGACAGTCTGGTTTCTACAAAGTGTGGTTACATCTGTGTGGGCCATCTGGAGCCCCTCAGCGGGTCCCTGTCCCCACTGATGGGCAGCTCCTGTGGAGAACAGCTGTTGGGAGGAGAGTGGTTTACCCAAGCTGGCTGCAGGTGCTAAGTGCTGGAGGGCACTCAGCAGCATTCAGAACTCTAGGCCAGTTCGAGCTTCGTGCCCCATTAGCCCAGAAAGTCGGCTTCCCTGGCAAGCCACTGCAGTGATTTAGTGGGTTGGAGCTACAGGTCACCATAACTGTCCTGGAGGGAACAAATGGCCCTTTTTTGTGCTATTTCTTCTTACTCAGCCCTCCCTGCCTCTGGGTCAATATTCCCTGACTATCTAAAAGCAGAACTGATTTCTGCGCACGTGGCTTACTCGAGGGAGAATCTGGAGGTCATACAGGTCAGGGGGGAAGCTGCTGGGTCTGGAGTCCTTTGAAATCTCTTAGATGAGAGAACTTTCAAAAACTGTGTACAAAGTTTCCAAACAAAACCTTGTCTCACTAAATTCTTCCATCAGCTATACTTGTTAGAGTTATGAACAGCTCCTCTCCAAAGCTTTCCCCACCCCCATCTCACTTCCTTTTAGACTTAGCTTAATTGTCTTGGCTCTCTGTTCCAGTGTTTGGCCTCAGAATGAAAGCTGAAACTTTGCCTCCCTTCCTAAATTTGATTATGGAAACGTATTTCTGCTTCTGATTATAGTCTCAAGTAGAGAGAACTTACACTTTGTAGTCTGCAAAACCCAATAATTGTGTATAAAATGGAGTAATTATACCTCAGTCACATTTGTCACTGGAGTCCCTAAATGTTCAATGGGAAACTATTGGCACTGGTAGACATCACGGAGTATTAATGCATTTGTGGCTTGCAGTAAAAACACTACGTTTGCAATGATCCTGTTGCCATCACTAAGAATAAGCCTTTAGATTTATGAAGAACTGGCTTTCTCTTGACTTCGCTGATGTCTGTGTTTGAATCTAGAAAAGTAAATTTCTTCACGAAATAGGTGTAATACCAACTGCCTCGTACAAGTTTGGTGCAAGTATTGAATAACCTAATGCACAGTAAACCCTCACCTCGGGGCCTGGCACATGAGCGTTTAGGAAGTGGTACCATGCTTACACAGTGTCTCTCAAAACATTCATCCAGGGGCTTTATCAAACACAGATGCCTGAGCCCTGCTCACCAGTTCTTATTCTATGGTTCTGGGGTGAGGTCTGAGAAGCCCCACTTCTAGTAAGCTAGCTGAGATTAGAGCTGCCTACCCAGAGACCACTCCTCAACCTCAATTTAAAAGATCTCCCAGATTTTCTTGGTTTTGTGTTACAAAATATCTTATATGTGGTATTGTCGCGGATTCTGTGCAAGTAACTTACAAAGATGTTTATAATACAAAACAGAGTCCTACATAAAAGCCATGTACTCCTTAATAAAGGAAACCTTTTGCAAGAGGATTACAAAACCGGATGCATTTGGCAGTTAATGAAAGACTCCGTAATATGGTTGTTGAAACTTTACATTTAAAGGATAAGTTTTTTTGATAGTCTAAGCCTCTCTAGCACCAATACTAAAACATTTCTTTTTAAAAGAATGGTTTTTTAAATTAGTGTGTGTGTGTGTGTTTGTGTGTGTGTGTGTGTGTATGTGTGCATGTGCACACGAGTATAGGTGTCCATGAGAGCCAGAGGGTTTGGATTCCCTGGAACTAAAGTTAAAAGTGGCTAGAAGCTGCCCAGGATAGGTGCTGGCACCTAACTCAGGTCCTGTGGGGGAGCGAGGTTAAGTGCTCTTAACCACCAAACCAGCTCTCCAGCCCCCAAAACATTTCCGCACTTGAAGTAAGAAAAGGAAGGAACTAAATAGTATGTTTAAACACCCAATATCATAAACAGTCTATTATAGTTGAGCTCTGTGAGGGCTTGGAGCCATCAATAAGTTCCACCCTAAACTGTGAGGAAGCACAGAGTAAAAAAAAGAGAAAGGCCTCCCAAAAGCCTAGGCTAATGTCAGACCAGAGTGATAAATACTGTTTGAATAGTAGACGGTGGTTCTGAAATTAAAACCATTTACAGTCTTAGAAATAATTATAACACATGGATCCCAGTATTTATAAAGTACCTTGTCATTTAGTGGCCACACCTTCTTGGAAGCATGTTGTAGCCATGATATAGTGACTAGGCTCTTAAGTGAAAGCAGAGGGGGAAATCTTATGCTAATTATATGAGTTATTTCCTGATGTGCTACACATAATGGCAGGCTCTTCCAGCAGGTTTCATCCAAAGTAATTTGTTTGAAAACCACTCCTGAGTGTAGGGCTGGGGCACCAACTTAATAAATGGGTGCAATTTGTGCCAGTTGTACCTCTCATTTCACAGAGCCTGCAATTAAGAAGTCATTCGTGACAGAACTGACTTCTCTGCAGCAGAAGTGGTTCTGGACCTGGTGATAATCTACTCTGGCTTTTAGCGTACTGGCTCTATTAAATGTTACCGATACTGACAATGTCGGTGTGTCTTCTGTGTCTGCTGCTAGTATAGCACAGGTATGCAAAGTGGACATTAGAGTTCTTTCTCAGCTGGTTAAAGGAAAGTCCCTGATTTAAAACCTCTTTAATAGAGAGCCTGGGGTTTGCACCTGATTTATTTTATGGACAACTTTATTGCCTGTAATACCAAACTAATCTATAAGCTGCATTAACTTTTCCTGCTTAAGACAGAGAGAGAGAGAGAGAGAGAGAGAGAGAGAGAGAGAGAAATGCAGTTTTAATTACACTGTTACACTGTTCAAAGACAAAAATTATCAAAATATTGAATCAAAATCTGAACATGGACTTTACATGTCCCCCATTTTAACTACTGCTGCTCATGAAGGCCCAGGTCAGACTCAAAATGCACATGTCCAGTTAGCTGATACAACAGTTCTTGTCTGTCTCTGTCCCCATCAGCTCTCAGCAGAATGTCAACTTGTGTCTCAGTGCATTGTCATTCCTCAACTCACATGACATCAATGAACATCTCAACTTTTTGAAAAGTGAAGGGACCATGAAAGACCCTAACCATATATGCATAGACAGAGCAAAATACCTATCTCAACTTTGAAACAATTATTTGAATTTGATATTACATGTATCTCTATTTGGCATTGGTTCTTTGTTCCAAATAGGATCTAAAGATGATTGTCAGAAAAGGATGGATTCCAGAGGTGGACAAGAAGGGATCACAGAGAAGAAACACAGGGCCTGCCAAGCCAGTCAGCCAGCCAGTAATTGACCACTGAGCAATTAAAAGTTGACTCAGATTTTGGAAGCAAGATAGTGGCCTCTAATCTTCTTTGCAAGTTTTGATTTAAGGCTGTGAGCCAAATGTCCTGTATAAACTGTTGGAGAAGTGCTTTCATGTTCAATCTTGGAGGGGTATTCTGTAATATCTTAGTGCCATGGTGCTAACACCACAGCAGATCAGAGTTCAAGTTAGGGAAGGAGTCCTTCTAACTGGGTTTTTCTTCTCAATATATTCCCTTTGATAACCTCTGCGATAACTCCCAGTCCCTGCCTCAAAGTTGGTACCTTTCAATGACTTACAAACATTAAGCGTGTAAGTCTTGGCCCAAGAAGTTCTTGGTGATGTCTACTTTTAAGCTATAAACTTGTGAAGTGAGCTTGTTGTTCAGGGGATTGTGGGATCTCTACTAACTATATCGTTCATATTCTACTAAGAGTCAATTACTATGGGAAAGAGCTCTTGCTTAGAAGATACCAGCAAAGAAACCAAGCACAGTATTTGATGTGGGCCCTGTTGAGATGCTACCCAATTCTCTGCTCGGAGAGTTAAGCTTCATAGGTAACCATGGATATTCTAGACAAAGACAGCTTTACATACAGGTTAACTTTAAGAGCAATTGCTAGCCATTCACTGCAGTAGAGAAAGTATTTGCATACTCCCAGGAACTAAGCTATCCTCTAGTAAGGGACTTCATTGACTTTTGTTTCTGAAATTAATTATTGACTGTGAAACAGTTAAAGAACACTGCTTGAATTCCCTTTTCTTTCCTGTAAAAGCATAAGAACATACAGTGGCAATTTTACTATACATTGCCTTTCTCAGAAATATTACTAAGTTGGCCACTTAGCTACCCACACAATCCAAATGCATGCCACTGAACACTGCAGCTTTGAAAAACAGCTACCATTTTGAAGGGAATCCCAAACACAGTGACAAGTTGTGTTTTTCTGAATCAGGTTTCTAACATTAGCCCTGAAGGAGATGGGTGCAGCTCTGGTTGGTTTTCTGGAAATACACATTTTTCTGCAGAGAACCATGATTTACTTGGCAAACAAAAAATAAGCAAGGAGAGAAAAATCTGACCATACACCTTCTAGGATTTGTATGCCTTGAGTCATACACCACATAGTCTTTGTGTCTGGTTTCTTTGTGCCAAGTGGTGTTTGGGAAATTTGTCTGAGCATGTCATACCTTGTTTATCTGCCAGTTTATGGGCTAAACTATAAAGAGGGCTCAGAAGTTCAGAGCGCTTGCTGTCCAATCAGAAAGACTAGAATTAAGATCCCAGCAATCACATATCAACCCGAATACTCCAGCAATGTCTATAACCCCAGCTCCAAGATAGGTAGAGACAGGAAGGTCACAAGACTTTCTGACTTCCAGCCTCACTGTGAAAAATTCAAGTGAAGACTCAGGAAGGTACCCTGCCTCAAAAGAAATAGACAGGGAGTAATGGAAGTGACCACAAACTTCTGCCCTCCACACACATGTACACTCATACAAACATGCACACACATTGACACAGACCACAAGTTAAAAAAAAAAATCTGCCAGTTAATGGTCATTGAAATTTACACGTTTTTTTTAATTTTAAAATTTGTGTGCATGCATGTGTTCCTGCATGTACTTATACATCTAGATAGATGTCTCTAAAGGCCAGATAACGACATCAGATCCCCTGGAGCTACAGTTAAAGGCATATGGTACTAGGGACCAAACTAGGGTCCAGCTTTTTTACAAGTTTTGATAATTATGAACATTCATGTGAAGTTCTTTCTGTGGGCTTATGCCTTCAGTTCAGTTGGATAAATGTATATTTAAAAAGTGGTTGGGATTGTTGTATAGGTTTTTTTTAACTTTATTGAACCTTTAAAGCTGTTTTCCAGAGCTTGGACACCATCTTTGCATTTCCACCCCAACCCCAATACGTGCTCCCTGAGCCCTGTATGAGAGACAGCAATTGCTCTACACAGTCAGCTCTTTACTATCAGTCTGGTGGATAGAATCTTAGCCTATTTTCCTAGTCCCTAAATAGCTAGCTAGCCCTTCCAATTGTCTACATGGCTAGCCCTAGGCCAGCTTCTTTGTTGTAGAATAGTGATGCTTTGTATGAGTCTGACCATTGGTGATGTCAAGACAAAGACAAGTTAACGTGTGAACATGGATGCTAAGAAATATAGATGACTAATCATGCTTTTGGCTCTAACCTCAGCAGATTTTAATTAATACACACACCAACAAAAAAAAAAAATCTTATGGTTTTTCAGGCTATTTGATCATTCCATGGAAGGGTTTAAGAACTGGGAGTTCATGACCATTCACTGCTGGGGAGAACGGGCTGCTGGGGACTGGGTCCTTGAAGTTTACGACACTCCATCTCAGCTGAGGAACTTCAAGACTCCAGGTGAGACATCAGTTCAAAATAACCCATTTATGTTGTGAAAGAAAATGGTAAACTACATTTGAGCAAAAGAATTCTCCACAGTTGCCCTACTCTGCTTGGTTTTGTTATAACAACAGTCTGACACTGTTACTTCATAAAGAAGAATGTTCTGGAAGTTCCTTTAGCAGCCTACTCTCAGCAGAACTCACTCACTGAGAGACCGTCATTAATGTATTAATGGAGCTGGGGCCCCATAGCCTAACTACTTTCCAGTAGGCCCTGCCTCTTAAAGGTTTCACTACCCCAACTGCACTGTGCATACAGCAGGCCTTCAGCACATACACCCCTGAGGAGCAAGTCACAACCACTTCCTGACAGCACTTCTGCCTCAGCATCACTATTCTGTGTGATTCATTTCATACACACATTAAATTATCTGTACACCTTCCAATCCTCAAGGCAGGGCAGTAAATGGGATCATTTTAAAACACTAAATAAAGAATAAGCATTTAGGTATGAATAAGAGACAAATCCCTCAGAACTGCATCCGGCCCACTTTCTGTAGTTTGTGGAAAGCCAGGCTTGTTCTTTAAAGTGTATTTTAGGCACATTAATTCACAAAAAGAGATAGTTTTTCCTTTGCTACTTTTCTTGCTTGCTTCCTTGTTTCTCAAATTTTCATTTTCATTTCAGAAAGACTGTGACCTTAGGCTGAACCAATTAATCAGGTTACTACCAAATGAGGGTAAAGATGGTATCCTGCCCTGCATGAACCCAAGAGCCAAGTAAAATGAAACTCTCCTTGATATATAATCTGAAAATAATAATAATGATGGTTTCCAGCCCTCTAAGATTCCGTAGGGCACCACATCACCTGAACCATCTTCATGTCCATATATGAAGCTTCTTTGTCATAGATTAAAGAGATGCATATATGATGGAAGATTGCATTGCCCACGATAGAGCCCTGAGCAGTTATTTGACTCAGAAATGAATCAACTTACTAGTAATTATACAGCTTCCCAACCACCCACAGACCCCTGTGCAGATGTGAGCAGCGTCATCCTTGATGCTCTGTCCATTTGCAGAAGGCTCAGACCTGAGAGTCACTTCAGGACTTATGTCCAACTCCATCATGTACTGACTCAGAACAGGATCACCCAGACCTTCCAAAATCACAACTCACAGTCAGTGAGCTGCATGAAGCAGAGGTGGTTCTCAGGAGAATTCGAGGATGAAGCTTGGGTTCACCAGCACTTTGCCTGCCTATCAAGAGACGTTATTCATTCTAGGAGAATTGTTTGACCATTATCTTTTATATATCTTTCTCCTCAATTATTTGGTGTATACAGCATCATACTGCCACGTAGAATTAAAGACCCCCAATAAACAGGGAGGTCAAAACCTATGGTGCATCCAGGTGTGAAGCTAGAGAGATGGCTTAGCATTTAAGAGTGCCACTATACAATCATAAGGACCTGATTTTAGATCCCAACACCCACATAACAAGCTGGGTATCCTGGTATATACCTGTAACCTTAGGAATAAGCCTGTAGCCCCAACTCCAAGGAGTAACCAAGATAGGAAGATGATTGGTGTTTGATGACTGAGTAAACATGATCCTTGGCTTCAAAGACAGATCATACGCCCAAGGAATAGACCATATGCCCAAGGAATAGATGCAGAGTGACAAAAGAGAGCACAGGACACCCTCTTTTGGAGGCTGCTGCTTGTGGTACCTACACATGAGTATAGATACACAAGCAAATAAAATGCTTTTTTAAAGTTTTTTTTTAAAAAAATGAATATGTCTTCCTCCCTCTCAGCATGCTATCTGAATACAATAGTGGCCAGTTTTATCCAGAGATCAAATGTCTGTTCCACAAACACAAGGTTGCTACTAAAGACAGACCTCAAACCACAGTTCTAGACACATGCCTTTTCCTAATCCACTTGGTTCCTAGGGAGCTCTCTTCTTTTCTTCTTCCTCCTAGTCAGTGTTCCTGCCATAGAATACATAAATTTTAGAAGCGAGAATAGCATGGTGAATGGGTTGTGCTTATCCAGCTTACTGCAGCTCCCAGATGATCCATCAGTAGATGTCACTCCAGGCCCCCCAGTGTACAGACAAACATGGGCTGTGTGGTCTATCAAAGAGGAGTGTGGATACAGAGGGCATGTTGTCTATAGAGAACGTGAGACAATTTTAAACTAAGCAAAACTACCTGTGTCCTTTATCATCAACAGGTAAAAGCAATTCTTCACCCAAATGGCTTCCAGTCCAGGTTCCCATTTAGGTAGTCACTTTAAGCAATAGTCTGGTAGAAACTCCATGCCCTTCTGCCCTGGAGGAATTAGGAATCTCTCAAGAGGCTCCTATGTCATCTATGTTAAAAGCTCTCTGAAGTAGCTCAGATTCACTTTGGCTTCTCCTTACACAGCTGGCTCTCCATTTCTATGTGTTCCAATTGTTCCATATCCACAGCTTCAGCCAAACCTATATCAAAAACTATTTGGGAAAAAAATTGCCTTTATTGTATATGCACTGGCTTTTAATTCCCTAAACAATGCTGTATAATAACTTACCTGTTATTTGGAAGTAGGAGTAACCCAGAAACGATTTGAAATACATGGGTAGATATCTGTAAGTTCCAAGCAAATTTTCTGTAAGGAACTTGAACACCTATGGATTTTCCTATCCATAAATGTTAGAACCAACTCCTCACAGATATTGAGGGACAATTGTATTATGTAAACATTCACTTCAGCTGTAGTCAATACCAATCATTTAGATGTGTTCTTTTTACACCTTATTGCTGTAATAAAACTATATGGTCTTTTACAGCCTTCTTCCCATTATTTCATAATAAAGTTAGTCACACCTTTGATGAAGGACTTTTCCATTTACAAGTGTATTTGTCCATAATTATGTCCTTGTTTCTATCACACAAAATCCTGTGGTAACATTTCTCTGTGACTGGTGAGGGATTTCTCTAGCTGATGAAATTTTTGTTGGATGTGTAAAATTTTTCTATCGAGACATAGAAAATCTAGAGGTTCCTGGTGCTGTACTAAGTTTAGATTTGTATATTTTCCCCTCCAGATAAAAAAAATAAATGCATATTAAGTGCTTAGCTGAATGAAGCATATACTTGTAATCCCAGCATGCAGGGGCTACAGTAAGAGGATCAGAGCAAGATCAAGGCCAGCCTGGCCTGTGCAATGAAAAGAGAGAGAAGGAGGGAGAGGAGAACTACAGACTATAGCCTTGTTGGATGTCCTTAATAGTAGTCCCCAGACAAGGGATAATCACCTTTGAGGCAATGTTCTGAAATAGTTCATAAGGTAAATTTTTAGATCCAAATGTTTATAGGTGGTGGAGAAATGAGATGACCTGTCATGCTTGTGTTGTGTACTCCATTAGAATTCTAGCAGATATCCTGTGAGAAGGACAATTTCTCCATCACTGCTACCTCAAGGTCATCAAATAAATCACCCCTATCCAGTGGCCCTCCTCTTCCCACCACTAAGAAAAATTTTCATGCATGTCACTTAAAATTCTGACACAGGCAGCCTTCAGCTCATGAAAAGCATGACCATTAGCAAAGAAAAGGCACCCAAGAGCAAGCTGCATGCAATCAAACTCTACTAGCTCAAAACATAAATCCAAAGAACTGAGTGCATCCCAGAATTATCTACGGATCTGAACTTATGGTGGCTCAGCTGGAAAGCATTAGACTTGGAGCTGGCAACATGGCTCAGGGGGTAAAGGTGCTTGCTATCAAGACTGACTACCTGAGTTCAACCCCCAGAATCCCCATGTGAAAGGAAAATACTGTCTCATACAAAGTGTCCTTTGACCTCCATACATGCCCACACACATTTGTAGTTAGTCAATTGATGAAACAAAGATTTTTTTATTTTAAAAAGATTATTTACTTTAAATAAATAAAAGGCATTAAGAAGAATATTAGTTTTATTATATTTTTCTAGACTAATAATGTGTGACTTTTCCTTCAGGAAGGTGAAGAATGGCCCATTGAATTCTAGATGATGCACCCATAAGAGACCAAAGAAATAATCCCACCCAGGTCTAGCTTGATGAACCATGGAGTTTATTAGGGTAACTTACAGGAGCATGTGTGAGGGGCTACCTACAGCCCACACTGTCTAGAAGAATGTTCTGCAGTGATGTAGCTTATTATCCATGGCCATGGATTTATGACTCAGTACCATCTTGAGGAACTCAGTTATTTTAATTAATTTTAGTTTATTTGCACTTAAGTAGCCAAGTATATCTAGACAGCACTGTTTTTAAAATCGTGTATGTACAAATATTGAATAATGATTCTGGAATTAGGTGGCACAAGAAGTTGGTTTTCTCTTAGTAACACATCAGACAATATGAAAACATCCCAAAAGCTCGAGTACCTATAACAAAGCCTCCTGAAGACAGCTAATATTCTCTTAAATAGTTATAATTCGCAATTCATCCCTTGATCCAGTGGTCTGAAGTATGTTTATGTCTCAGTCTTCCTATTGTGGGTGCTCAGTGAATGTGTGACCTGTGAACTGGGAAATCCTTATTTCTGCAGACTGTAGGAACATCCATTTCTTAAGATTCCTATCAACCTCCCCACCATTCCACTGTTGCTTGTTCTTGTTAAGAAGGACTGACTTAAGGAAGCCAAGGAGCTAAAAAGAGATTATCTGGTCATTCTCTGTTACTGTTTCTCAAGGTAAATTGAAAGAATGGTCCTTAGTCCTCTATGGCACATCTGTGCAGCCATACTCCCCAACCAATGAGTTTCCCAAAGTGGAACGCTTCCGCTACAGCCGAGTGGAAGACCCCACAGATGACTATGGTGCTGAAGATTATGCAGGTGAGTTGTACATAACTTTAAAAAGGTTGGGCATGTTCCTGGCATGTACAGTAATATGATGTAATTGCTATAAAGTATGTTTTCAAATATTTGGTATAATGTTCATAATATTAAGCATCTATTCATGGTCTGGAATATATTTTTCCTCTCCCAAATATTTGTATGTATATTAGTCTACTAATAAATACATATATTTAAATAGTTGTGTGTGTTGTCTACACAGATAGCCTATTCTGTAACTCTAGGTTGATGTATTTTATCTGTAATTTGAAATACAAATTGCTCAGAATTATACACTGTTTTAAACAGGTTTGAAGAAACAGGTTTTCTGTCTTTCTATATGTATTAGTGAGAGTTCACTTGAGGGACAGAACTTACAGAATGAATATATATAATGAATATTATATATAACAAATATAATATATGTATATAGAGAGAGTGAAGATAGAGGGAGGGAGACAAGGAAGAAGGAAAAGAAGAAGAAAGGGAATTTATTAGAGTGGCTTATAGGCTGTGGTTCCCCTAGTCCAACAATGAATGGACTGCCTATGAATGGAAGGCCTAGAACTCAGTAATTCTTCAGTTCATGAGGTAGGAGTCTCAGATGGTTGTCAGTATATGCTGCAATCTTGAAGAAGTGGGCTCTGAAGCCAGTAAAGGAATAGACTTGCCAAAAAGAGCAAGAGCAAGCTTCCTTCTTCTATATCCTTTATATTGTCTTCCCTCAGAAGCTGTATTCCAAATAAAGGTGAGTCTCCCCACCTCAAAAGATCAAGATTACAAGTTATCCTCCGACCTCAGAAAATCCAAACTAAAATGGGTCTTCCTACTTCAAATGACTTTACTAAGAAAACAATCCCTCACAAGTGTACCCAGCCACATGTGTTTTAGTTCATTCCAGATGTAGTCGGGTTGACAACAAAGAATAGTCATCACAGCATAGATCTTAAATTGTTTCTTTCAGTAGAGTTTTGTTCTGAGATTCCTGCCTCAAAGCGGGTAATCAGTTTGAGGATGTGGGAGTCTCTGTGACTCCAAATTCCAGACAACCATTCCAGGCTACACAGGTCAGCTCCAGGCGCTAACAGACCTCATTCTTGTCAGCCATGAATGGAAAGAAGAAAGGGGAAAGGCAAAGGGAATAGTTTTAAGTGTTTATAGCTTTGGTTGCTAATAAGCCTAAAATTATCTTCTCTGTAGTTCTTGAAATTAAATTCACATTGCTTTACCCGTTTTCTACTCAAGATTAGAGCCAGTCCCTCCTATGTCTATGAAGACTTCAGTAACTTGCGACCCTTCACATTTTCTCACAGCTCCTGAAAATGTTAGTTATCTCTTCCCAAAGGTGACTTTTGAGTTGTTTCACAGAAACCACTAGTAGGGGATGTGGTTTTTCATAGATAGATAGATAGATAGATAGATAGATAGATAGATAGATAGATAGATAGATAGAGATGGAATACATATATATATGAAATTATATGTATATTCCTATATAACACTTATATCAGTTATTTGCAGAAATCTTATTCTTTAATATCAGGTAAATGTCCACATGCTTTGTCTTAGTAATCTCTTTAGGTTTCTCCAATTGGCTATTTTCATCTGGATTGCTTTACTTTGCTTTAGTGTATATAAGGAAAGTTGAAACTGACTTTATTTTCCAAACAAATGCATATAGTTGACTGAACAATTGCCCCTTTTATCAACTCTGATGCTTTCTTTATAACAATAGAGTGAGTTCTTGTATCAGGGTCTCTGTGAGTCCACTATTTCTAAGTCAATAACATGGTAATTCATAAACCGGTATCACCTGCTGTGCTGTCTTTTTCAATTTCAGTTCTAAGAAGTTTTTTCTTTTTTCTTTTTTCCTCTTTCTCTTCCTTTTCTTCTTTCTTCCTGTCCTACCTTGCTTTCTTTCACTATGGTAAAATGAACAGCAACTTTGGCAGCAAAGGCTTCATTTCCATTTGTAGTTTACGGCCCTCTGAGAAGGGAAGTAGGGCCAGGAACTAGAGCAGAGGCCATGGTGGATGCTCCTTTACAGGTCTGCTCTCCGGGGCTCTCTGAGCTCCTTTTCTCATAAAGCTCATGCCCATCTCCCAGGGGTGGCGCCACCCACAGCGACCTCAGGACTCCCACATCAATCAAGAAAATGCTACATGACATTTCTACAGGCCAATCAGATTTAAGCAACTCCTCAACTGAGGTTCCTTCTTCCCAGATAACTCTGCTAGATTAAGTTGACAAAAGTAAAATAAATAGCCTCCCTTCCCTCTTCTTTCTTCTCCTCTGTGCTGCGGGCCTGACACATTCTGATATGTATCCTGCCTTCAACCCCTGTGGTCTATTTTAATATTTGTCGAACATCTACTTTCAGTTTTTACAAAGATCTTTGAACTTCTGTTCTTCCTATGAAATTTTAAATGGCTAAAGTTGCATTTTAGTTTCCCATTTGAACATCATTGGAATTTACACTCAGTCTCATGGGAAGACTTTTTTATTAGTCTTTTCCTATAAAACAGAACATGCCTCGTTTTACTGAAATTCTTTAACTTGATTTAATTTTCTTCTTATTGTTATACTTTGTTAATTTGGGTCTTGTTGCCCTTGTTAAACAAAATAGTCCCATTAGGAGCTCTATTGGCCCACAGATATCTTATCTTATATCTGAGCATGTTACTAGTTTTCTCTTATTTATATGTTTTAAAGTCACTTTTCTAAAATTGTTTATTTACCTTTTTTTCAGGCAACAAATTCTAGGGGCATCCTGCCCTTTTGAAATATGCTGTATAATATTATTTGCCAAAACTTTGCCTAATGGAGAAATGTTTATAAATACAAATTTAATGTATTTTTAAACAAGAAATATTTTGTTTCTATAGTTCAGAGATCCTTCTCCTGACACTGAGATAAATACATTTAATTAAACACTTGATCAGAACATCTTAAATATTCAGTAGGTTCTTATCCTGTAAATAGGTAGTATACTGAAGTCAATAGCATACTTCAATAATTAAGACCAAATGAGCTAACTAGAAGAGATTGTGTCAGATTTCATCCCATCTTGTTTTGCTTTGAGCTTGTCATGTTACTGTTTGTATTATAACTAGAAACTATTTTATCTTCTATGACAGAAAAAAAGTGTATCCAAAGTCATAAATGGAACACAATAGTAAATAAGCTATTATTCTTTCTTGTATCACAATTTTGACAATTTCAAATTCAAATTTGGTGGTACTAAAATTCTGAACACAATAACACTCCCTTGTCTCTTTTCTGATTATATTTCTAAAACATTGATGTTGGCACTTGTAAGAGAACAAAGACAATTTTATGTCACTATTATCCTGAAATTCACAACACCAGATTGTATCTGGGACAAATTAAGATTATAAAAGAAAGAGTATCACATGTGAATCTGTCATACAGAGCCTGTTGGCATGTATCACACAAATACATATTTGTAGGGTTTTTTTTAACTTATAAAATATCTAGTGAAAATGTTGGGGTACCTATGACTTCTTTTATGTGTGAGCATGTGTGCAGGTAGCCTTTCCTAGAAGCTAATCTGGAGCACAGGTGACAGTTTCACTGAATCTCAAAGACTGTGGTACCCACAGCTGCCTTTACTCACACAACACAGTCATCCATCCCTCCCCTGATACACAGTGGTAGATGGCTGAACTGTCCCAAATTGTACTAGCTGTGAAATTTAATTTGGAAATCAATTTAAGGCTCTTGGGGAAAGAGAAATAAACAGTGTTGTGAAGTGACTCTCGCAATTAATCAGGAATGCCTCCGAGCCCTTTAAAATCTCTTATTCCATTCAGAACATGAAGACATTTCAAATACATGATCTGCTTCCTTTAGACAGATCTGGACCAAACCTCTGGATGTTTCTTGACCCCAGCTTTACAAGCTGGGCAAACCATTATAACTCTTTGAAAATCCAGCTCTCAACAGTAATGACTCCATCTTTTTCCATGTCCTTCTACCCGAGTTCTAACATTTGATGTTTGTGTGATTTCAATAAATAAAATAGAACCTAGTTCTAAAATGACTAAAAGAGACATTGGGAGGTTCATCAGTAAAGCTTTTTGATTAGCACAAGTAGAATTCAAGCACTTCTGATTCCCTGTAGCCTCATTTTTGCATATTTCAGGAAATCATTTATTGGTATTTAAAATCAAAAATTTCTGATGAGAAGGGAATATAAGATTTTATATTCTTAAAAATTATGAGTCCAAATACCTTAAAAGTTAGAGAACAAGAAGAAAAAAGTAAGATCTTACTGGAGTTCCTCACGCCATTAGAAGGCTCTGCCTCGGCCACACGGAACAACTGTCATGGTTTGCTTACTATGAATTGTTTCTCATATAATACCAAAGAAAAGAGAACTTGAGGACCTTCATCCCGAGTGTGGATACCTTTAATCTAGATTGCAAGTTTGAATGTGTGTGTCATTTCTTTAGTTGAGCTGTCCATTGACATATGGATAGGACTCAAATTTAAATATATCCGTGCCTGAATCACTTGTTTTGTGTTCCAAGATGAGAGGCTGATAAATTTGTGCCATATACTGCAATGATGTTTCATGATGGCTGTAATATTTCAGAGACACGCGCTGACTTTAATGATCTTAAACAAGACACATAATCTCCTCTAGGTATTGAATAATAAAGTTTTATTTCTTTTTTGTCAACAATGTAACTTCTTGTTTTTCAGCAAATGCCATATATTTTATTGTTATGTATAGTAACTATAGTCATTTTTTCCTGATTAATTGTGAGAGTCACTTGACAACACTATTTATTTCTCTTTCCCCAAAAGCCTTAAATTGATTTCCAAATTAAATTTCACAGCTACTACAATTTGGAACAGTTCAGCCATCAACAACTGTATACCAGGAAAGGGAGGGATGTCTGTGCTGTGTGAGTTAAGGTGGCTGTGGGCACCACAGTCTTTGATACACATTCTGTGTATCAAAATTTGTGATTTTGGTATCACAGTTGTTTTACTATAGTGACCCTGTTCATTTGAATTGCTTGCTGTCACTCCCAAGACTATCATGCATGTTCTGAAGACCAGGCCATGCCTATAATTTATATTCTTGACTCCTCAGCAATTCATATTTTACCTTCAATCAAGAATACAGTCTTGGGCTTATAGCTACATTGGCCATCTCAAAGAAATTATCACTGCTTGGTGGCAAGCAGCTAAAATGTCTTATTCGATTTCAACTTTAAGATAAAATTGACTTACTAGGATCATTTTCTTTTTCCAATTTTGAATCTCTTCTTGAAAGGTCCTTGTGACCCTGAATGCAGTGAGGTTGGATGTGATGGGCCAGGACCAGATCACTGCAGTGACTGCTTACACTACTACTACAAGCTGAAAAATAACACCAGGTAAGAGTCAAGCCCTGCTCTCCCATGCTCCATAAGTATGTCCCTTGTATTCCAGCATTCCTGTGGGCCCAATCACGAAGAGTATGCCTAGACAGTACTGTATTCCCAGGTTCCCCTATAAGCTCTAAGAAAAGATGTTCCTGCTTTCAGTCCATGGCGGTTCTGTCATTTACAAGAGTAAAAACCCTACGGATTTACACAGAAAACTTTGGCATATCTGTGAGCTGCTTGTCTCATCACTGGGACAAAGCGTCTGATAAAAGCAACTTAAGGAAGAAAAAGGTTGTTTGTGTTCACAGTGTGAAGAGATGCAGTCCATCCTGGCCTAGGAAGCATGGTGGCTAGATCAAAGGGGAATTAGTCACACTGTGCCCTTCGTGAAAAAACAGAGCAGCAAATGCTGGTGCTTAGGTGACTTTTTGCTTTGGTCCTCTTTTTTAAATCTTGCCTACATTCAGAGTGGATCTTCTCTCATAAGTTAAATCTCCCTGCAAATACCTTTCCAGACACATACAGAGGTAATCTGAAGTCTCTCCAGGTTGATGATAAAGATTAACCATCATAGGGCTACTTATGGTCAACTGAACACTAAAGCATATCACTGTTAACAACAGTATTCCACTTCAGACCCTCAAAGGCTCATAACCATCTTTTAAACTAAAGTACATCACAATCTTACATCTGTAAGAGCCCCCGGTCCAAATTTTAACAGGTCTAAAAACATTGTTCAAAAGCCTAAAGTCTCTTTAGACCTGTTGTATAATTACTCTTAACTGTAATCTCTTAAAAAAAACCAGGTTCCATACTTCCAGTATATAGTGGCATAGAATTCTATTTCAAGATGGAAGAATTGGGATATAGCAAAGAAAGAACAGACTAACCAAAGATTTTGATCTTGTGATCAAAGTCCACTGGAGCAAACACTGACTCCTGAATCTCTGTCTAGTGCCTGGGTCCCTTGGCACACTCTGACCTCCAACAACCTTGATGATGCCAACTCCTCCACTTCTGCCATCTGCAGTACAAGTTTCCCACCTCATAGACCAGCTCCATCCATTACCTACAGCTTTCTTTCATGACTCTTCCATAGTCCTGACATCTCCAGCATCCTAGGGTCTGCATTCAGCTTAGGCCTTGTTTTCCTAGCTTCACACAGGACCTCTCAGAGCCTCCTTGCAGGGAAGCTGATATTGCCTCATACTGATCGTCCCCAGTGGCTCTCTGGAACCTTGTTGCAATTCTCCATAACATTGTAAAACTTGCCCACTCCCCCCTCCAAAAAAGCCAATGCTGTGAATGATGTCATCAAGTTCTGCTGAGTTTGAAGCATAGTTAGACACACATTTCCCAGTTACAGTGGCCTCTGTGCCCTGGCAGTTAAATGCAGATGAAACAATGTTGTTTTCAGTAGGGCATCATGTCCACAGCATTCTCAGTTCAGTGTGTCCCCTTTCAAATAGATTTGCATTTTCACAAATATGAGTGGGGTCTTAAGCCTGACTGCATAGGGGTTGATGTCAAAAGTATCCCCTCTCCAGGAAAAAGACATCGGAATGGGTATGGCCCTCGTGCCTCACTGGACAACGACAGGGGGACCGGAGCCATTACAAGGTCCCCTTCAATTATTGGAGGTCAGGCCTCTATCCCCACCTTCCCAAAATTAGATTCACCACAGCCCGTCTATACTTAGAGAAGGGAGGAGATGTCAGGGGCAGCCCTGCTTATACACTGAAGGCCTAAAGTCAGCCATAGGCCTAAAATCAGCAATAGGCCTGTCATACATGTATACTAACACCAAGTCTTGGGTCTCTGTGGATAAACACTGAAACAGATGGCTATAAGCTATTGTAAACAGGCAGTTTTTGTGACAATTTACCAGCCTGAGTAGTCATAGACCTTGTAAATAGGTAGCCTTGGCAGATAATACCAACTTAGATAAGGACAAGTGAATCATAGGCAGAGCCATAGCAACCTGTCCCCTGAACCCTTACCCAGCCGATACCCTGTTCTGAAAGATATCTGTATTCCCCCTGAACACTCACACTCTAGTGTCATCCCCTTCCCCACATCCTGCCTTTCTGTGTTTATAACCCCTGTGTGAATGAGTATAAATTACAATTTGAAAAAAATAGATAAATTATATTTAAAAAAAAAGAGTGGGGTCTTTTCCTAATGACATCTTTCAGGTTGCTCCAGTAGGGAGTGTTTAAGGTCTCTCTTTAGGGACAGAGTTCTCTCAAATAATTACACCTCAGTACTTAGTTACAATTTTAAACTCTTTTCCTCTGCTTCCTTAACCCAGGCAGTTTTTGCATCCTTTAGCTCTCTCAATGTCAATCTGACTAAAAGTAGTAAGCAGTAACAATATCACAGCATGGCCATTAGAGTGATTTACAATTTCTTCCAAACCGCAAAAATATTTTATGATTGAGCCTCATTTAAATGTTCAGTACATTGAGCACACAGTTATGTAACGACCCTCTGGCGCAGGTCGACATAAAGTCCTTATTCCCCACTGGAACCTCAGGACCTGGCCACCATTGCCTATTTTTTCTGAGCCATCTCTCCAGCCACATGAGAACATTTTAAATTGACTTTTTAAAGCAATTTTCAAGTCTATAACATGCTGTTAACTCTAGCCACCATGATGTATCATGTGTGTTGAACTTAGTCATCCTGTCTGAAGTTATGTGTCCTGTTTAGCCCATTAGTATTTGCTTCTCTGGCTGTGTCTATTCTTCCTGGACATGCCAGTGCCTGTGCCAGACGTATACTTTTTTCTCACATTCCCCAGCATGCCAGACCATTCATGCTGGTCTCTGTTCTTTTTCTTCCATTTTAGACACTGAGATAGAGCCTCTTAGTGCCAGGATTTAGGCTATCTATGCAGATATATCCCGGTGGATTCAAGCTACAAGCTAGTGCTTACCCACACAAAGCCCATCCAACCAACCCTATGTCCCTTCCAGACCAACCCACCTGCTCCTTCCTCTTTCAGGCAAAACTGTGTTCTAGGAGCAGTGCTCAGGCACCTAAACAAACACAGCCAAGCCCAAATCCCTGTGGAAATCCATGCTAGAAGTCAGATGCCTCAAGGAGATAGGTTCTCAGCTGACTCCTTTATGGTATTATCTGTTTCACTAACCAAAATACCTGCTATTTAATTGGTTCTTAAGCTAAATTAAAAAATAGATAAATAAATCCTTGACTCTAGTTATTGACAATTAAGGAAGTTGGCTTTTTTTTAAAGGAAAGTTTCAGCTGGGCCATGGTGGCACACACATTTAATCCCATTACTCAGGATGCAGAGGCAGGTGGGTCCCTGAGATTGAGACCAGCCTGATTTGCAGAATGAGTTTTAGGACAGCCAGGGTTACACAGAAAAACCCTGTCTTGAAAAAAAAAAAACAAATAAGCAAAGAAAAAAAGGAAGGTTTCTGATGAGCAAAATTATGTGTGTGTATACACATAGATATGATTTTGTATATATACACATATATATGTATATATACATTTATGATATGTATATATGTACATAGATAGTAGATAGATGATAGATAGATAGATAACGACATACCACTTCTACCCAGATGTACATACAAGGTACATGACAAGCTACACACAGAAGTGGAAGGAACTCCTTATTTTAATGACATTTTCCCCTAAAGTTATGGCCCACATATTTTTCCCTCAGATCAGAACCATCAGTCAGCTCTTGAGATTCCGAATCCAGTTTTAATTCCTTTTATAGAGCTAGATTTTAACTAGAAGATTGTAGACCATGAAATACCTGCTTACTAGATGAGATGCTGTGATGTTCCTCCATTTTCCTGCACAAGAGGAAGCTTTACAAGATAGATGTGGTCCCTTTGATTTGGTGTTGGCATCCCAGTTGAAAACTAACCTTAAGGCCACAGGCAGCTCTCAGCTTTTCTGTAAACATGCTGAGCTGTGTGTGCAGATAAGTAACCATTTCTCTTATAATCCCACGACGCAGAATCTGTGTCTCCAGCTGCCCTCCTGGCCACTTCCATGCGGACAAGAAGAGATGCCGGAAGTGCGCCCCCAACTGCGAGTCCTGCTTCGGCACCCATGGTGATCAATGCCTGTCCTGTAAATATGGCTACTTCCTGAATGAAGAAACTAGCAGCTGTGTTACACAGTGCCCTGATGGGTCATACCAAGATATCAGTGAGTTGTTTTAAAATGTGTTGGGTTTTTAAAAAGATACAGGTTTTTGTTTGAATAACTCCATGCATGAAATCTGGGTTTTCCTTAGTGTCAAACAGAACCTAGCCAACTCATTAAAGAGATACTTTAGAAGGGTTTTGTAGAACTGTCTGTAACTACCTGTAGCAGAGGACCCTCACACTCCCTGCCCAAATAATGATTTGCTATTAGATGCACAACACTGGGGATATCATTGCATTAAAGCAGAAGGATGAAACATCAAGTCAGTCAAGGGAAGCAGAGACATCTAGAGGCATCTTCAACCATGTGTCAAGACAGTTGCCCACTCAAACCACATTGAACTCCCCAGCACTGGTTTGTGATAGCATATGTGAAATACTACATAAAAGGGAAGCTCAGTAGCAACTCTGTGTCTACAGTTACCACTATGAGCTGATCAAGTAGATACTACCTTCCTGGCACACACCATCAACCACTCTGCTTATATAGTCTTCCCAGTGTTAGCTAGTCTCATCAGATAGATGGGAACCCTCCCTGACTCCAAGTTCTCAGCAGCCAGCTGCAGGCCAACCTGACAAGGATAGCAGTGAGACCTGCTTACTTCTACACATTAACCCAACAGACTTTTGAAATTATTCAAAAACATGACTGTCATATAATTGTCGATTCAACATGTGTCAGAGACATTTTAGTGATTAATGAGTAAAGTAACGTAGTAATGAATAAAAACAGGCAAGAGGAGAATGGTTGTAAGATGATCAAGTTCTGTAGTGCCTAGGAAAGGGGAAAAAAATCCTTTTATGAAGCTGGTGAGAGGGCTCAACGGTTAAGATTGTGGGTAAGAGGGTAAGGTCCTCCAGGAGACATCAGTGATTTTCATAACAGCTCACAACCATCTGTAACTCTAATGTCATCAGATCCAGTACCCTTTTCTGGCTTCCAAGGACACCTGCATTCCAGGAATATACCAACACAGATTTGAATGAAAGATGATAAGGCACCAAGATTGGAAGAAAGGAAGGAAGGAAAGAAAGAAGGGATGGAGATAGGGAGGAAGGAAGGGAAGGAAGAAGGAAGGAGGGAGGGAGGGAGGGAGGGAGGGAGGGAGGGAGGGAGGGAGGAAAGGAAGGAAGGAAGGAAGGAAGGAAGGAAGGAAGGAAGGAAGGAAGGAAGGAAGGAAGGAAGAGGGGGAAAGAAAGAAAAAGTCCTTTTGTTGAGTTACAGATGAAAGAAAGTTAGACATGGCTATACCAATAGGTTTGGGGAGTGGGTGTTTGTTTCTTACAGCCAGAAAATTATCACTTTATTAAACAACAATCCATACACTAATGTGTAACTTCTCAGAGACTGTCCCTTACTGATATAATAAACAAATAGGAAAAACACAAGGTAATTGTCCTTGATCAGACAGTGCTTCGATATGGCCCTCCCAGACCTGTAGATATCTTTGGCTTTGTTTCTGAGTTCTGAATAATTTGTCTCACACCACAGTCTATTCAAACATAGGCATCTGTCTAAGTAGATCAGGCCCTTGTTCCACTTTGAGTAATAAATATGGATTCTGCTGAAGTTCTTATTTGCCTGAAAATTTGAAACACGACTTTCACCTTGATAGAAGAAAGAAAATTTAGAAGATAAGAAGAGTCATAAGAGATCCATGGAAATGTACAGCAAGTCTTAGGAAGCCTTGCATATATTAAGGGTGTGCTCCATCGCTGAGCACCCAACAGCCATTCCTCTTTAAAGAAGTGGGGAGCAGACACTTGAGAAGTTGTCCAGTCACTTCCACCACTGCATAGCATTGGTTTAAGTGGTCAGTGTGTCTCTACTATTGCCTTTGTTACAGTTTCTCTCCCTCTGGCGAGCCCATTTACATATAGCACAGTAATCAGGCTATGTAATGACAGTGGCCACTAATAATTACTGAGAACACATTCACAATGGTTTATAGTTGACCTTTTCCCCTTGAAATAATCCTATTAACTTGCTAAGATAAGCTAATAAGTAGAGTTCATTCTAATCTTCAGTCAAGAGTGTAGAGACCTTGACCTTGCCCACTAGAAGAGCTGAAATCAGAATGCAAATCTAGGGCCTGTGACTTCAGGTCCAAGGCCAGAACCTTAATGTGCTTAGCATGCTCAAAGTCACATTGGAGCTGCAGTGTAGCTGCTAGAACATTGTCATTTCTTGCTGAAAAATGCAGAATACCCTGTAGGTCCCCATATAGGAATCCCTCTACACGTAACCTTGATAAACATCCACACTTAAAGATCAAAGAGAGACAAAGCCTGTAAGCAATGATTTTATCGTGTGTGTGTGTGTGTGTGTGTGTGTGTGTGTGTGTGTGTGTGTGATTATTACCTGCTTGTTGAAAATATTTAATCTCAATCAGGGGCTTCTACTCTGCCTTTGATCATTCAGTTTCTGGATAAAAGACACACAACTTTTATATTTATAATAAGCCTTAATCAGCACTACAGCTGGGCAGATATTGACTCTCTATGGTATTATGTCTATTTCCTTGACAATAGCTCCACAATATGACTTGTCGTGTTTTGTCAGGGCTGCTCTTAACTCCAATTGGCCAGCCCTTATTGCCATGATTTCAAGATTCTTACCCCATGGGGTCTTTGCTCTCTACCTTCCTCTCCCTCCCCATCATGGTTCTCCTCAAACTCCAAACCTTGCCTATCTCAAGTTTATCCAGCTATAGGCTGTAGGCATCTTTATTCACCAATCAGAGATAACTTTAGGGGCAAGGTCACATAACATCACTTGGGTCTATGTGTAGATATTCTCATCCTTGGGGACAACCAGGTATTGGGGTACCAGTATTTATCATTATAATGTATAGCAAAAGACCAAACCTCAATAATTTCCCTTTTTGGCCAATAAAAGTCTCTTCTTCCCCTCAGATATAAATTGAATACAATTTTAACAATTATGAAAACTATAAGGTATGATATACATTTATAATGTCCAATTTATTTATATTTGACAACTTAGATAAAGTATTTTATTATTTATCCCATCTATTGAGTTTAGAGTTTTGCATCTAAATCATTTTCTGTCATAACTTGTATGTATAGACCTTATGGCATTTTTTTTAAATCCTAACAATTAATCTTAGTTGCAATACTATCTAGTCTTTAGCCCCATCAGAAACCTAAGAAGGAATAAACATTACTTGAGTATGCAGGAAGTAGAAAGCAAACACTTTCCAAAACTATTGAAGTGACAGAGGTTTTTTGCTGCCTATCCACAAATTGTCTCTATAATATTGGAACATCCATCTTCAGCCTTCTGGCCTAAAATATGACAGACTTTTCTATGAAGCAGGAATTATGAAGGGCTTGCCTACCTTGTCATCACAAAGTTTGTCAGTCAACTTCTGTGCATCTTGTTTGTCCAATTTGGCCAGTATTCTGTCTGGACCCTCTGGCATATCAGAGCAAGTTCTCAATTTTCACCAAAAATTTGACCAAGGTAAAAGGCCTTTGCTAACTATTATGACAAATCACTACTTTTCATAATAAAGCTATCATGTTTAGCTCTTTTTTGCAGTGTGGACATAGATTTGTTATTGAATAGGAAAACTTAATGGTATGTACACTCAAACTGATATACTTCTATAGAATAAGATGTAGTTGGAACACAATCATTTTTATATTCATTCCTTACCAATGATTTCCTTGCATCATGACTGAGATTTCCTATTTTAGAAGTTAGAAAACCATGCTTTGGAAAGAGAGTTGAATGCAGTAAAAACTATAAACCTTTCTCAACTAAGAGTTTCTGAGGTCTGTCTGCATTGTGCCGAACAGGTGCATGGTGCTTCCTGCTCTGACAGTTCATGAAATCAAGTGCCTGAACTTTACAATGCAGCTTTCCAGATGAACCTGTGAGCACTGCAGAGCACATTAGTAAACACTGGAAGACCTCCATTCTTTTGTGGAATCCAGTTGACTGACATATGTCTGTGTTTCTTTTCATAACAGAGAAAAATATTTGCGGGAAATGCAGCGAGAACTGTAAGGCGTGCACTGGATTTCACAACTGTACAGAGTGCAAGGGCGGGTTAAGGTAAGAGAATGAGATCCAGCAAGAGACACCATCATCTGGGGAGATTTGCAGGGCAAATAGAAAGGAAAGCGTAAGAGTCAGCATGTAAACAAATAGCTCTCTTCCATCTGCCCTTGGTTTGACTCACACTGAAGCACCTCCCTGTTATTTGCATTATCTCTACAATTAGACGTGGGCGGAAAATGGGATGCCATCTTGGCTAAGGAAGGATTATAATCCAAATAAATTCCCTATAAAGAAGATGATTCAATGGGTAGAGAGATGGTTCAGCAATTTAAAAGCACATGCTGTTCTTGCAGAGGACCTGAGGATCAATCCCAAGCAACCATTTAGTGGCTCACAATTGTCTGTAACGCCAGTTCTAGGAGATCCAGTGCCCTCTTTTGAGCTCCACAGATACCAGACATACATGTGCTACACATACCTGCATGCAGGTGAAACATTCAAGCACACAAAATAAGTAAATCGACAATGAAATTAAAGTGATTTTTGAAAAGAAAGATAATTCAAATATAGAGATGACCATTTGAGAAGCATCTTTTATACATTTTGATCTGCATTATGCTAGTCAAGAATGACTGGGTAGATAGTGCCTGTAAATGCTATTTAATCTGCCTGATTAAACTCTCAATGGTGGAAAATTATTCTCTTATCTTTATTATTTTTCTACACATACCCAGCCATTTGCTTATCTTAAGTACTTCAGGTTCAGTTCCATTAGACTCTCTGCGGTATGCACATAGAGTTAACACCGGGAGATGTCTTTTCCAGATTGATGACTGGCTCATTGCCAAAGCTGATACTTGGTAGACTGTAAGAGAGCAATATGCAGCATGAATGTAGAGCCTCTTTCCTGAGAAAGAGGTCAATTGCTTCTATGCCGAGTCCACCACCCCATACGGGCAGGGCTCTGCCTTCATAGGCAGTTAGAGTTCTACAGTACTTTCCATTTAGGTAGTGATAGGATATTACATTCATTCCATCTTTCATCAAAAATGAAATAGCATAATGTAGACAGTTCTTAGGCAGGTGTCCTTGACAGTCGTCAGTACTGCAATGGTATTCACACTTATCGATTACATGTGTCCTTGCTCTTTGTTTTCCTAAGTGCAATTAGTTACTTAAACCCTGCTTCTCAGTGCTTGATAATCTTGATAAATACAAGTCTGCCTAACTACCTGATTCTTCTGTTTAAATTTTATTTCATGTGTATGTATGTTTTTGCTGTATGTATATCTGTTTGCCATGTATGTACCTGATGCCCATAGAGGTCAGAAGAGGGCATCAGATCCCTTGAGTCTGAGTTATAGGTGCTTGTGAGCTGCTGTGTGGGTGCTGGGAATCAAACCTGGCTCCTCTGGAAGAGCAATCAGTACATGTAACGGTGAGCCATCTCTCCTGTCTGCACTTAATTCATCTTAAAGGAACAGTGTAATGGTGAGGTAGAAGGCTTTTCCCTCTGTTTATTAATTGTGATCATGGCAAAATCACTTAAATACTGTTGTCTTCCATTATTCTCATTACCAAATGCTGAGACTGACCCCTACTTTGATGAACTATGATAACCTGATAACATTTATTTTTTATTCCATTCATTTAGTGTAACATAACATTTATGTATTACTTACATCTGGTACATAATTAGTCCATAAGAAATAAAAGACTACTGAGCTTATTTCTTTATTTCTTAGAGAACATTTTTATGGAATTGGTTAAATCAGAACACACAACAGAAATATAAGAGCCATCCATGTAATTTTAAATGTTCCATTAGCCACATTAAAAGTGGTAAAACACAAGGGATGTGATTTTAATAAAATATTTTACTTAAAATATATCAAAAATATATTATTACAACATGTGGCCAACACAAAAGAAATTACAAGTGAATTACTTTAAATTCTTTATTATTTTATTAAGTCTTTGAAGTATGGAATAATATGGTCTTAGCGTATGTCTAAGACTTGACAATAATTTTTATGAGAAATATCTGCATTAAGAAGTTTTTAAATCTAATTGAGAGAGCAAATTTTATTAAGCCATTCTATTTCAAATGTGCTGAGAGGTTTGCCAACAACTGAATCTTATGAAGTTTTTTTTCAAACATAGTCATAAATTAATTAAAATTGAGAGAATATTTAAAATTCAATTTCTTCACAGTACTGAGCTCATCTCAGGGTCTCAGTAGCCAAGTGGCTAGCACAGGCATGACCTGTTTATGGAGCAAGGAAGGGAGGCGGTTCTGAGCTGGACTGGTGGGTCTCAGGACACCTATGTTTTGGAAGCAGCTGACAGCTTCGGAGTTCAGCGGCTGTGCTCTGTGCCCACTCCTCCATCAACTCCAGTACAGTGCAGCCTCTGTCTCCTGCTGAATGGAAGCCAACCTCAGAACGCCTGTCCTTTCTTAGAGTGCCAAGGCATCTATTCTAAAACTGCGGTACAATTTTTTTTTAGTGGTTTTTATTTCATCCCACAAAAGGATTCATTTGATGCACTATGCTTTTCTCTGGAGCTGGAGGAAGGGAAGGAGATCTTTGTTGGCAGCAGGCCAGCAAGCTCTGAGACTGACACGTACTTTGGGGGAAGTTGTCCTTTGTCACATCGAGGCTCCTTCCTCGGTGCTTCTGAGCTGACAGTTTGACTTCAGAAGACCTGGAAATTGTAAAATAGTGGCTAAGAGCAAATATCCTTGCCTAAATACCTGAATGAAAAGGATTTAAAACGCTGACAGGAGTATTTATGATTCTTTTCTTCAGCTACTTCATTTTTGTACTTTCCCAGTGTCTTGAGTGAACAGAGGGTAAAGTAAATTTCAATTTTCAAAATTAATATAAGCCATATACCAGGTACTAGGATATAAGTTGAATCAATAGAAACTATCAGAAAGTAGAAAACATTTGACCATGTGCCAAACATACACATTCTCCAGTAGAATTAGTCTGATAACAAGTTTGCACCCACTCTCTTTCAGTTGCTGTTCAGTAATATCCTATACGAAATAATGCAAATTCTATGTGTATTTTTAAGTTTCAGAATCATGCTGTAAACTTGGCATAGTCGCATGTACCTGTAATCTCAGTACACAGGATAAAACCTCTAGGGCAGTGGTCCTCAACCTTCCTGATGCTGAAACACTTTAATACAGTTCTCCACGCCATGATGATCCCCAACCATAACATTAATTCATTGCTACTTCAGAACTGTAGCTTTGTTACTGTTAAGAATCATAATGCAGGCCAGGCAGCCGTCACACACGCCTTTAATCCCAGCACTTGGGAGGCAGAGGCAGGTGGATTTCTGAGTCATCCTCAGTTACATAGCTAGTGAGTTCAAGGCCAGTCTCAGAAATAAATAAATAAACAAATAAAAACTAAAGCTACTTGAAATGTCATAGCTAACAGAAATGTGAAACAATTTTGTTTTTACCATTATTCATTTTATATTTTAGAAACTCAAATATGGATCATAGTAGTATCTAGAGAAACATATTGCAATAAATCACTTAATATTATAAAAATATCTCCAGGAAAAAACTAAAAAAATGATACAGCAAAGAAAAGTCAAAATGTTTTCAAGGTTTCATTTTGCTTAACTATTCATTAGAGTAGCTTAAGTAAATAAACTGGTGAAAAGTAGCAAAGAGGGCTGGAGAGAAGGCTCAGTGATTAAGATCACAGAATTCTCTCCCTGTGGACCAGAGTTCTAGTCCCAGCCCCCACATCAGATGGCTCACAATCTCACAACCACCTGATAAAAACAAATGTTTATCCAGGTGTCGTGGCACACATCTTTAATTCCAGCACTCAGGAGACAGAGACAGGCAGATCTGTGAGTTCATGGACATCCCAGTCTACAAATCGAGTTCCAGAACAGCCAGGACTACACAGAAGAACCCTGTCTCAGAAAACAAAAACAAAATCAACAAAAGTCACAAAGATACCATAAGATATTGCCAACCATAGAATTGGCTCCTCAGAGTTTTTATTTTGTTTCATTTTTATGTTTGTTTTGTCTGCATGTATGTATATGTACCATATGCATGTAATCCCCACAGAGGCTAGAAAAGAGTGTCAGATGCTCTGGAGTAACAGTGGGTGCCGGGAACCCAAAACAGGTCCTCTGCAAGAATAGTGAGTGCTCTTAACCACTGCGCCACCTTCCTAGCTGCTTGCCAAGACTTTTTAAAGTGATGTAGAGTAAGGTTGTAGAATGCCAGATGGTTTGACACATTCAAGAGAGAGGCTTGGCAACACTTATGAGTGCTGCTGATGTTGTTACAAGTACCAAGAGAGATCTAAGGCCACTTCCCTTGCCTTGCAGCTTTACCAAATCTCTGGTGTCTGAGGGGACCGTGTTTGTTACATATGGAATCTGTGCATTCTTATCACTTTGTCATGGGGACAACAGTCTGCTTATAGCTTGTCCATATTTCTCTCAGCCTTCAGGGATCCCGCTGTTCTGTCACCTGCGAGGATGGACAATTCTTCAATGGTCACGACTGCCAGCCCTGCCACCGATTCTGTGCTACCTGCGCTGGTACCTTCTACCACTTCTCCCCCTTATATTCCTACTTGTGGTTGCTGTTTTATTTGGCTGTAGCCATGGTTCATGCAGCTTTCAGTACATTTCAAAGAAGTGTGTAGGGCCACATTTCACCTGATAATGATGCAAGTTTTCACAGAAAGCCAGTAATCATCAGCACCTTGTGAGGAACTTAAATGTTCTAGTAACCATCTCTTTCTCAAAAGGACAGGCATTCTTGGTGAATAGATTCAGTTAAAAACACAAGAGTCCCCTCACAGCCCCCACTGAAGGAAAATAAGAGAGAAGACAGTTATGGCTTAAGATGGGAGCAGATGGGTGTGGATTTCTCTGACTGCTACAGAATCCCATATTTCAGCTCGTCCTGAGGCTTTTTTTCCCTCCTGTTTCTTGCATGTGCTTTGCACTGAAGGGGCTGGAGCAGATGGATGTATTAACTGCACTGAGGGGTATGTCATGGAAGAGGGAAGATGTGTACAGAGCTGTAGTGTGAGCTACTACTTGGACCACTCTTCAGAGGGTGGATACAAATCCTGCAAGAGGTAAGTACACTTGCTCTGACCCTAGCACTTGATATGTGAGTTCCTTATAGGACTGTCTTCCAAATAATGAGAAAACTGATGTTTTTTAATGATAAAGTACAATTTGTTCTTTGTGTCTTTGGACACTGACCTGCAGAATTGGTACATGTTGGCTGGTATTTTTATCCCTCAAGACCACCTTAAAGTCGTGTGTGTGTGTGTGTGTGTGTATGTGTGTGTGTGTGTGTGTGTGTGTGTGTGTGTGTGTGTTTGTAGGTGGTACCTGAGGACCAGAGGTCAACATCGAATGTCTTCCTCAATTGTCCTTTCATTTATTAGAGTCAGGATCAGTTACCAGTTTGGTTAGATGGTCAAACACAAGCTCCCTCTATCCATCTTCCTTCCTTCCGTCCTTCCGGTGCTGGGAATATAGAGGCACAATACCACACATGGCTTTTGACATGGGTGCTGGGGATCAGAACCTTACCAAATAAGCCATCTCCCCAGTTCTCCTTCACACGTACCTTAGAGCTTTTAAAATAGTATTTCTGTTTCCAGGACACACTTCGTCCCCTTGGGCATCAGTGTCTACTGATTTTGTTTTCCTAATGGTCTCAAACCTAACAGCTAGTGTAAGAAAAGACTTTTTGTCATCCTCAAAAGAAGTAATTTGAAGATATTAAGAGATTGATAGTAAGTATCCCCCATGCAAATGGATAAGAGATTCACTAATTATGTGTTTCGCCTGTAGATGTGATAACAGCTGTTTGACATGCAATGGTCCAGGATTCAAGAACTGTTCCAGCTGCCCCAGTGGGTATCTTTTAGACTTAGGAATGTGTCAGATGGGAGCCATCTGCAAGGATGGTGAGTACAGCCCCATGATCTGCTCTGTGATCTTTGCACCTTACAGACTAAAATATCTCCGTTTTAATGGAGAGACTAGCAAGCATGTATTTAGCAGGATATGCTGAGTATCTTGTGGACAGTCACTGACCTTGATTTACATCCTTAATGAGTCATGTTGCTTTGTATTATTTTGTTATCTGCCTGGGTACCACTGTTTTGTTTCTCTTTCTTTTTCCTTTTTTTTTTTTAATGATGGGAAATAAATTACCTGCCATCCCAAGATGGTTCCAGTTAGTTGTTTTAATTAATGAACTTTATTTTTCAGAACAGCTATCCCTTCATAGAAAGCTGAGTGTATAGACTCCAAGAGCACACATTGCATAACCTTCTCCGATATCAACAGCCTGCACTACAGTATCATATCTGCTCCACTCATGAACCCACAATGACAAGCCATCATCCAAGTCCATAGCTTACCTTATCATATGTTTTGGCACTAACAATTGACTGTGTTTGAGTAACCATACATGACATATGTGTATGATTATCTTATCACTCAATAGGGTTTCTGTCCCCTAAAGGTCTCCTGTGTTCTCCCATTCATCACTCTGCCTCTCCCAGTTCCTGGATTCTCTGAATTTTTTTTTCTGTCTCCATAGAGTCTATCTTTGCAAAATATCTAATATTTACGATCATATAGTATGTAGCCTTTTCTGGTTGGTTGGTTTTTTTAAATTGTTTTTTCCATTTATTTGTCATACAGGCTTTGTCCAGATTTTTTGATGCCTCATTAATAGAACCTTATACCTTCCCTTGAACACTTAGCATTTTGCATAAATATCTTCCTAAATCCTATGTTTTGAAACTTCCTTTTAATGATAGCATAGTATTTATTCATGTAAATATTCCCTAGTACTTGCCACTCTCTGGTTATTTGGATTTTTTATCATTTTAATACTTGAATCCTAATCCAATAGTATCAGAGTGTTTCGCAGAGCATGTAAGGCTAGAAATTAATTTTTCAATATTCCAGCAGGGAAAAAAAAAAGATGTGGTGATAAAAAGTGACAGACCCAACCTATAACATAGGACTCCCAGTGTTGGGCCATTCTCCTTTTCTTGGCATTAATGATTTTTATTCAAATTCTAGGACTTTTCCCATCCCCAAAAATTCTGACTGAGTATAGTATGACACAGAAACTTTAGAAACTTTTAAGTGTCCCTAAATTGCAATGCAGGTTTAGGAACTTCCTCTACCAGCTTGGCAAATGTCAGGGTCTCTCATGTCTCCAAAGTCACTGCCTCTACCTGTAATTCAACACGACTCAGTTATTCGAATGCCAACATTAGCTACTGATTTTCCACATAGTCCTTACTGAGGAGACTCTAACTTTGTACCTAAACTTTCCACATAAAATATATCTCAATAGAGATATTTAAACTATCATCCAACATGTCTTTGCTGACTGCATTTGGAATAGTCTTGGTGTCAAGGATATAGCCCTAGGGAAAGGCAGAACATGAAGTTAGGTGTCTGTTTGCTGTATTCAGATCTCCACGTAAACTAAAGAAGATACTACTGATGCTGTATGATTATTCCACAGCTCACTATTAGGAACCTCAAAAGGGCATAACAGGAAGGGAGCCAATGAGAACACTGATACACACTCATTTGTTGTCATATCTCCTTGAAGCATCTGGGTGGCTTCGTCTTCATCATGTTTCAGAACAGGTAGTGTAGCAGAGTAGGCTAAGCCTACCCCTCTCTGTGCTTTTAGACCCAGCCAGGGCTCTCTGGGGTAAGGAGCCTGAAGTGGAGGCACAGGGCCTTTTAATTATCAGCTATCAGTTACCAGCACATGCCTTTTATATCAGAATACAACCAGAACTTTTTTTTAAAAGTCTGTACACAGATTACTAAGGAAAATCTAAGTGATTGACAGTCACAGGACATCTCCCTTGAAGTTTTCACTTCTAGCATTTGATATTGGGCAGATAACATTAATGAAGCCCTAAACCACCTTGTTAACCATGCTGATCATGAGCTAAGTTGTACCAAGTGGCAACTTGGTCAAAGGGAAGTGTCAGGATTGTGGGATAGAGTGGAAAATGAGGAGCTATTGTTTGCAATGGGACTACTCTCAGGCCTGTGAAGAATGAGGCCCTTTGAGCCCTTTGTCACATGGCCAATGCCCTAAAGGACTACAGGCTGTTCCTTTTCAACTCCATATTTCCATGATTCTAAGACAATTGTTTTGCAGCTTAGTATCTCTGGAATCAGATATATCTGTTAATTCATGACAACTCACTATTAATTTTGACTCTCAGGTTAACTGGATGTAAGTGTCATGCCTGTATCTTAAACTTAGCCACAGAAATGTACATTGAATTGAATGAAGCCTGTGGCTCCTGGTTCTCGTGTGGCATTTAACAGCAGTTCAAATGAACATTGAAGAACTACACAAGGAGCATCATATCACATACTGTTAGTAAGAATAAAATTAAAATTTCAATTGCTAACAGAATATGGTATCACAACGTAAGCATTATTACCTTGTGATATTGAAATAACAGTCAATCTTCAACTGTCTTGGATTCATTGAATCTTAGATTCTACGAAATATGGTACAAATGACTGAATATTTTCTACTCTCGATAATTCTGAGAAGAAAAGTTCCTTGTTTGTGATATTATTGATTTCTAATTTATTCTTTTTTCCACTCTCTTTTTCCTTTCACAAATGGATACCAATCACATTTACTACTGGACTGCAATATTTCTCCTTGAAAACACTGCTGTTGACTGAAATCACTTTGGGTGGACCAAATTCCCTCCTGTGCCTGCTCCTGAATGACCTCTTCCAACCCCTCAAATCTACCTCTCTGGCCAATCAAAACTTACCTCGGTGTATCACGTTGCTCTCCACTCCACTCCCCTTCTCTCTTGCTGACTTCCGGAAAAGCAACGGAAGAGTCCTGGGCAGAAGGAGGCTTCTGTATGCTTGTGAAAAAGAACAATCTGTGTCAGCGGAAAGTTCTACAACAGCTGTGCTGCAAAACATGTACATTCCAAGGCTGAGCAGCCGCCTTACACCCCTGTTCCTGTAGACTTATAGATTATTCCATATTATTAAAGAAAAAAAAAGCCAAAAACTGCAAACCACCTCTCTCTTTCTTGCTATCTTTTTTTTTCCTCTCTCTCTATCTCAAGTTTGTGCAGGGAGATGGTGAACTATTTTGTCAGAACTTAAATAGAAGAAAAAAACTACAACAAGCCTACCTTTTATAACTGGATGTTTAGTGTTAAACAGCCAGAATCACAGAGACAGTATTGTATAACCAAAGTATTTGATGCCAAAATTTGACGGTAAAGTAATGTCTTGATTTCCTGCCCTGGTTTGAAGGTCCATCTTATTCCTTTGCAGTCACTCACTATTTCTCCTTTAAAAATTCCCAAAAATATTTTTTCCAAAAACATCACAAGAGCACACATAGATCAGAATGAACAGAGAACCTTTGCCTCAGTCATTTTTCTGGCTTTTGTCTACAGCCAGGGAAAAGGACAGGAAACTGGACCTTAGGGTCCTGAAAACACCCTGCACAGTGTGTTCAGTGTCTTGTCTTAGTGTTCCATGGTGACACCTTCCCACACGTGATTTGCTTTGTACATTGTGTCCGGGTTTTTTTGCACTTTTCTTACCTGATAAGTCTCCTCCACTGGCTTCATCAGGCAGACTTTCTGCAACTGGCTTTTCAAATACTGTCAATTGGGTTATTTTTTACACAGCTGGTAAAATGGATTGTTCTGCAGAGTCAAATGGACAGTAGAAACATGTGGTAGCCAGAAGGGCTGAGGCTGATCCAAGTCCCCTGAAGCCCAGAGAGTGATCTGTAGGCTCTGTACAACCTCTCGGTGCTATCTAGCCGTTGCCCCCCTACCTTTTTTAAACTGTCATCAGAAATCACATTTGTCTCGTGGGCAGCATTTGGATTATGATGCAGGAAATTTCTTCCTGGGGTCAAAAGTTTCTAAGAAGTCCTGTATTTTTTAAGAAATGGAATTTATTTAAATAATATTTAAGCTCATGCTTAACACTTAGTGGAGCAGTGTTTTTCAATGGTGCTTATTACATGAGTTGTCTCCTCCTGACATTTTAAGAAAATAAAACTGGAAATTGAATGTGGGTGGCATGATTGTACCCCTCCTGGTTCTGTATTTTCTCAGTCTTCTGTCCTTCAATGACTAGGGTCATGTTCTTACGCACCTGTCCACTGAATGTCACTGAGCTGGGGTTGGTTTGTCTGTCTGATTCGAAATGTGTTCACTGGTTTTCTGTGACTCCATAAACATTTCATAGAATCTAGAATACTGAACTATAGAGAGACTACTTTGATTCTGTGGTTGAAAATGATGAAACCTGATAAATCTTTTTGTAGTTCCTCTGAGAATAACTGATATCACACGCTTTCGTTTTTCCTATCAAATCTCCACGGTGACCTCATTTGCTTGGGGCATGCCCGGGTATCTCCAGGTTCTAAGCTTTGGAAAGCTACACTTCCAAGATGCTGTGACTTCACTGCTAAGAAGAGAGTGGTGATCTTGGGAAGGAGCTGGGGTGTGGATGCTAAAGTCCCAATTCATACAAACAAGCAGTAAACAGCCAACCCTGAAAATATCCCTAGGCAACAAAGTTCACATCTAGCTGCAGGTAGATAATGGGTAATTGGTCTATTGGACCCTTTAATAGCACTGTAATGTTACTGAGTCAGGAGAGTCATAAGTAACTAAGGAACTGGCAGGTTATGCTGGGCAACTTTCCTCTTTAGAGCACTGTAGGCTCTTCTCACTTAAAGAGCAGAGGGATTCCGGGCCACGGTGTATTCTTCTTATGTTTAAATGCACAGACTTTAAATTAACAGATATAATCACAAGCCAAACAGATGGCAAAGACTTGACTTGTCTGCCAAGAAATCAAGTTGATTAGGGAAGTCTATACAATTAGAAGCACAAGGTCACAG